TAGGTACACTGTGGTTTCTCTAGCAATGAGCTCCATTGTGAGCTCGGAGCTCAAAATGCAAGACTTGGGGTGCTCATAGAGTTAAATTTTGTCAAGATCAATGCTGTAACTTCCACGTTTGCATTTCCTTTTCCTTCCCACAAGTCACAGAAAGTGTAGAAAGGCTGTAGGTATGGGAGAGGAGGAAGAAGTTGGAAAATTATCCAATACCAGGAACTCCTTAGGGTGGTATTATGGGGGTGTCACAGGAATGTGAAAGGACAGAAGGGAAAGGCAGGCAGAGGCATCACCAAAAAAGTGACAGGAGCAAGCCTCCTTTATAATTTTGCAAAGCCTTCTTGATTTTGTACCTTACAAAAAATATTTAATAACAAAACCTAATTAATGTTTGAATTATGAAGTGACCTAGGGACAAAACTATGGTAGGCAGAATAGTGCCCTCCCACAAAGAAGTCCATGTCCTAATCCTCAGGACCTGTGAATATGTTACCTTACGTGGCAAAGAGACTTTGCAGATGTGATCAAGTTGAGGATGTTGAGATGGGGAGACTATCTTGGATTATTTAGTTGGTCTTAATGTTGTTACAAAGGTCCTTATAAGTGAAAGTGGGACAGAGCCAGAGGGAGGTGTGCTGCTGGTTTTGAAGATGTAGAAAGGGGCCGTGAGTGGGGAAATGCAGAGAGCCTCTAGGAAAGCCTGGAAAATGCAAGGGAACAAATTCTCCACAAGAGGCTCCAGTAAGGAACAGTTGATTTTACTCTTACGATGACAGACTTCTGACCTACACAACTTTGTAACAAAAAGTATGCATTGTTGTAAGCAATCGAATATGGTTATTTGTTACAGTAGCCACAGAAAACTAATAGAACAGCAAATGCAATGCATCCAGCACTTTACGGGAAGACCTAAGTGGGACACCCAACATAAACTGGGGAGCTCAGGGAAGGTTTTCTTATACATAGGAAATAAATGGAGAAAGAGTTTCCAGGTCAAAGAGGAGGAGAAAGAACATCCTAGTCTATGGAGCTGGGGGTGGAGGGTGAGACAAGAACAAAAAAGGGAATAAGGTAAGAAACAAGAGTTGGTTTGGAACACAAATCAGCCTTGTTGAAAAATAATGTGGCAAAGATGAAGCAGGAAGGTTGGATGGGACAGACGGGAGCAACTTCTCTCCCTGGGGGAGGGTTTAGGCTTTCAATAAGAGCTCATGAGGAGGCAAGGAAGCATTTTAAAGATTGGTGTGTGTTAGTGTGTGTGTGTGTGTGCGCGCATGTGTTAGAGGCTGGAATGACAGTAAAATTTGCATTTAAAATTGCACTAAATATATGTATGTGTGTATAGACACACACATATATTTTAAATGCAAATTTAAAATAAAATAATTTTAATACATTTTAAATGCAAATTTAAAATAAAATGAAATTGCACTAAATGCACACACATGCATGTAGGCACACACACACACGCACACAGACACACCCCTTTTCCTTTCAGCAAATAGTCCTTGAACAGAGATAAACAACAGTGATTTCAACTAGGAGCCTGGGTTCAAATGCCACAAGCCACAGGCTCTCAATATCACAATGCAGGGTATTAGATTTACAATCAGACCCTCTTTCAACGTGGGTGACAATTTGTAGTTCTTCAGGAGAGGAGACTGCATCTGCTGCTTTCTTCTGCACCTCAACCCCTCCTCTTTTTAATGGAGCGAGTAGGAGAAGGGATTTATTCAACGCGGGCACCCTGGGGGTTTGGGGATGCTTTAGTTCCCACCTAATCTCTATCAGACCCAACCAAAGCTATTCTGAAAATTACATAATAGTAATACTTTTTCTTAATGTGGATAATCTTAAAGCATGGAGGTATACAGGTCTAGAAAATTTTAAATGGTTTGTACATATGAGGTCACAAAAATAATAATCAAAGGCAATCGCTGTAAGAGAAATTCATAAACATCAATCCCTGCCTCATCCCTAACCCTCCAATATCCAAGCTCTGAGACACACTGCTGAAGTTTTAAATTAATAACAGTTTATAGATTCTCTTGAGCTTTCCTCTGGAGGTTGCTAATATATTGTAATTCCACACTCTTATGAAATCCTGAGTTTTCGCTACTCCCCTCCAGAACAGGTTTATTAAAATTACTGAGGAAATAGTCTGTTTGCAGAACTATGAAATAAAATTATGATTTCATCCTAATTAGAATGACCAGTTCACTTAAAGCCTCCCCTCTTCCCCGAGAAACATACACAAAAATCTCAGCTTCATCTCTGACCTTTTCAATTTCTTATGGGATATTGTCTCAGTTCCAGGGGCTATAACAAAATAACATAGACTAGTATTAAACTGGCTTAAACCACAGTTAACCACCATTATTTATTTCTCACAGCTCTGGAGATTGGGCAGTCCAAGATCAAGGCCCCCGGAGATGTGGTGTTTGTGGGGGGCCTGCTTCCTGGTTTGCAGATGGCTGTTTTCTTGCTGTGTCCTCACATGACAGAGATCTCTTCTCTCTCTGTCTCCCTCTCTTTATTTGAGACAGAGTCTTACTCTATTGCCCAGGCTGGAGTGCAGTGGTATACTCTCAGCTCCCTGCAGCTTCTGCCTCCCAGGCTGAAGTGATCCTCCCACGTCAGCCTCCTGAGTAGCTGGGACAACAGGAGTGCACCACCATGCTTGGCTAATTTTTGCATATTTTGTAGAGATGAGGTTTTGCCACATTGCCCAAGCTGGTCTCAGACTCCTGGGCTCAAGCAATCCACCTGCTTTGGCCTCCCTAAGAGATGGAATTACAGGCATGAGCCAACGTGCCCAGCCTTTTGTTGCTTCTTATAAGGGCACTAAAATCCATTCATGAAGGCTTCACCTTCATTACCTAATGACTTCACGAAGACCCCACTTTCACCACCACATTGGGGATTAGGATTTCACTATATGAATTTTTGGGGGGGAATACAAATCATTCCGTCCATAGCAGATACAGTGAGACTTAGGTATGAAATGTTTTCCTTTAGCTCTTACTTTTCTTACTAATTTTATTAAAAATAGTTGAAAGATAGAAAATGAGTTAGCTTGGCAGTTCTGGACAATCCATCCTATGTTTACCCAGCTCAACCCAGGCTAATTTCCCTCTCCAGGAAGGGTCAAGGCCAGGAAGAGAGGTAGACAAGTCTCAGAAAGCAGGCAGTGTCAAATGCTGAGCAAAAGCCAAGCTCAGAAAGAGGAAATGTGGTGTTTATGGAACCAACTTGCAAAGGCAAACATTAGCAAACCAAAGAAATGTAACAAATGATTCTCAACAGCTGGATTTCTTCAATGCTTAAGCTTGTAGTAAACATCCATGGCTATCTTTGGAACATGATTTTTGTGTAAATATACATACATCTATTTACATAACCTCAAGGATTAGTTAACAAAAAAATTAACTAAGAGCCATCAACTTTCACTTCTCCAATTGGGTCACAATCCACAAGTTAATCTGTTAGGAAAAACAATAACATTTCTCTCTAACTGTGGTGGGAATCAGTAATTGCAGGTTTCCTAGGAAGATTCTGAAAAGCCCTTGGATACTGAAGGATTTGGGTTGCAGTTTTCTCAATCTGTTAAATGTTGAGTCGGGGGAGAAAATACACTTTTTTTTTTTTTCCCCAGAATCCTAAAAGTTTATGAACTTTCAGAGAAACACAAAGCCAACCTAAAAAAGTTCCCAGTGGGCAAAGCTGGAACAATTTGAGCAACAAAATAAATAATGTAGTATTGAATTGTGTCCCAAAGTATAAAATAAATATACATGAGTCCATACTGACATAACAAATACTGACATAAACAAATGATTTAATAAACAAGAGAGATGGAACAAATCTTTCTTACACAATAATTCTAAATAATAATATGTAGATACTCCCTCCTCTGGGATGGAGTTTAATCTTGCCCTTATCTTGAGTGTGGGTTGAATTGAGTGACTGCCATTCAGAGTAGAGTGTATGGAAAGAGAAAAACAGCTTTGCATTAGAGAAACCTGGCAGACACAACCTTAACTGAGGGATCAGTGTAAAGTTACCAGTGATAAGTCATGTGGCCATTGTGCCATGGTCCCTGAGAGGATGCGATGGGGAAGGCAATTCATCTCTGTGGCTTTCATCCCCCGAGTCTCATCATAAGAAAAAAACGTTAGACAACACCCACATGACTGGGTGTTGAGGTACTCCACAAAATTACACCTTACCAGAATACTTTCTCATAATACTTTACCAGAATTCCTTACAGCTGTCAAGGCCAAGAAAAGACTGAGAAACTGTCATGGATTGGAGGAGACAAAGGGCACAGGAAACTAAATGCAGTGTGGTATCCCTCCCGGGATCCTGAAAAGGAGAATGGTTAGCCAAAAAGCCAGCGAAAGCTACATTAAGTCTGGAGTAGTGTTAATAGTGGCAGATCAATGTTAATTTCTTTTAAAAAAATATTTTTAGTAGAAACGAGGTCTTGCTATATTGCCCAGGCTGGTCTCGAACCCCTGAGCTCAAGCGATCCTCCCGCCTGCCTTGGCCTCCCAAAATGTTGAGATTACAAGGCATGAGTCACCGCGCCTGGCCCAATGTGAATTTGCTACTTTTGACAAATGTGCCATGGTTATGGAAGCCATAATTAGGAGACATCAGCTGAGGGGTATATAGAGGACTCTCTGTACTGGTTTTGCAACTTTTTTTAAGTTCCAAAAGAAAGTTTTATTAAAAACAACAAAAAAATACACTTGTACTCCATAAATTTATGCCAAAAACTATAAAATCAAAAAATTATTTTAAAAATAAAAGTTTATGATCTTCGGGTACAAATATAACCTTCTTGTAAAGCAGCAGCCGATCATCCCCACCCCCATGCACAGCACCCTAGCGAGGGGCTTGAGGAGCAGAGTCTGACTCTCCAGCGCTGGGCGTGCAAGTCCCGCGACTCCTCCCCGGAGCCTCACCGGCGCCGGACTCTGCCCTGGGAGCGCCCCGCCGGGCGGAGTCAAACCTGCGGGTGGTGGCGGCTGCACTCGCAGGACCCTGGCAGCCGGCCGTGGCCCCAAGGCCCGAACGCCCAGGGGAGAAGCAGCACTGGGACCCCGCGCCGGCTGGGAGTCCCCCAAGGTAGGCGAGTCTGGCCACCTGCGGGCCTGGTCTCTGCAGCACGCTGCGGCATCCCCGCCAGGTGTGTGGTGTCCAAGTGCCTTTCCAGCGGCTTCCCCCAGCGGAGCTCCTGGCGCCAAGGACATTTCCTGTAAAAGGGTCCTTGGTGAAGAGGGTAACCCTCCCTGGAAACCTGGGTTCTGGGCTCGGATTTCTGGGCGAGAAGTTTCTTCTCCCCTGGGAAGAGTTGCTTTTCCGCAGAGGGGAACCCCTCTTTAGCTGGGCGCACACCTGATTATTTACTTAGGTTGATGTTATACAATCCGTTTATCAGGGGTCCCCGAGATTTCTGCCCGCTAATTTCAGTGGCCTTGGAGAAAACCCCTTCGGTAAACGCCCTGACCTGGGAACTTCAGTATGATGACTTTGACACATTACTGCGCTCGCATTTTTTTAAGAGCAGAGATGAATGAAGGTGGCTGTGTTCATTCATTTGTAAGGACTTCTGCAGCTGCAGGTGTAGTAGAAAGAGCAGTCCATTGCTTGACCGTTTCCTTAACGTTGTGTAGGCATCACAAGATTTTAGAGCTGGAAGTTACAGCGTGCTGGGCGGCTAGACAAAGCAACGCTTTTGTCTTACTAAAAAATAGTATGGGACTGTGCAAGTGTCATTTTCAGATTGGGTGATGACGTAGTTGTGAATTTTTAGCCTTTTTGGAAGGGAAGACAAAATTGAATGTAAGGATCAGAACAAGCAACAAGCCCTGTACATAAGTATCTGTTCCCCATTATATTGTAATTGTTTTATTTTAGGAATCAAAACTTCTTTGGTGTATATAGATTGGATGAAGTGTCAGAATACTAAAAGGAATTATTCTGTGTTTGCGATAGGAAGGAGATAATTTGTCCTTTTGATCTGACCTAATGCTATTAAATATTCAGAGCTACAGCAGTCTGGTTTTCCAGAAATGTGAGCTGGGCAGGAGTGTTAGATACCCCGGATGACACAATTGGTGCTGTTGTTAAGCTTTTCCCCAGCTAGAGTGAAGGCCCCTGACACAGAGGGATTTCTGCCCAAGGCAGGGAGTATCCCTGTGTGGTTCCTCAAATATTTGCAGAAAGAATGAAAACAACCGTACTTCCAGGCTGACCTCATAAGAAGGTTCTTACCTCTTATTATTTACAAAATAAATTGATACCTTGTCCTAACTAGAAAGAGATTTTTGAAATTAGTACAGGTGCTATTTTGTGAATTAGTGATAGGCATGTTATTCAAATTAGTGATAGGCATGTTATTTGCTAGCTTATTTATTTACAGCATCCAAATTTTGGCCAAAGCTAATAAACATAGCTAGATTTAGACAAAGCTAAAAAATGAGGTGTACATTTGCTTGGAATAATGACTGCAAAGGGAAAGAATTGAAGATTTTGATGGGAACATAAAAGTCTTTTAAAGCAGTAGTTTCACGTCTTTCCAACTGAGATATTTACATCCAAATTATATGGCCATGTATCGATTGAAAACATTTCATAATGGCAAAATTTTACCACGAATTTACTAACAGGTTTAAATGAAGGTCATTTACTAAGCACAAAAACAGCTATATATGTGAGTTTGGAAAACAAAAGAGAGAGAGAGAGAGAGAGTATGTGTGTGTACATTCTGTGTGTGTACATTCAGTTTTAGAAGCTATCTGGTGCATCTGTAAATTTGTGGGCCTATTCATGTATTCATTGAAACAATATTTATTGAGAGCACTGTGTTCTGTGTGGGAGAACCAACCAGGTGGGAGGGGAAGTCGGGTCTGGGCCAAACACAGCCCTGTGTAAATAAGACACATCTCTGTCCTCCTGGAATTTACTATGTTGGAGTCTTCCAGGCCACCCCAAGTCAAGTGCATAGATTTGCAGACCACATCAATGATCCATTCAATTTGGACAGTGACTGAAACTAAATTAGTTTCAAATCACATATTCCCTTACACTAATTTAAATACTCAAATCTAAAAATGATAGAGGAGCTCACATATTATTCTGCTCAGTGGTTTTCTTTTTGTTTAGGTTGGGGAAGAACTTAGGAATCATGTGTTCCAGGTTTGATGTTATGAAATATTAACCTAAAATAGCTAAGTATCAATTTCATGCAAATTAAATAAAAACTAAACTTGTAGTATGGCTGACAATAATCTAGAGACAAAAATTAATGAACAAAAAATTTAAAACTGAAAAATATCTATCCATTAAATTATTTTTTGGTGTAAATTAGAAAAATATGACTACAATTATATTTCCCCCCAGAGGAAAACAGCATCTTTATTCAAGTTATTCTTACTTTTCCTCTTTTTTTTTCTTTAAACATCTTTATTGAAGGTATAATTTACCTACTATAAAACACATCCAAGTGTGTAATTCAATGATTTTTGGTAAATTTACCAAATGGTACAACCACTGGCACAATCCAATTTTAGATCATTTCATCATCCTTCAAACATCCCTGGGGCCTGTTTGCAGTCACTCACCATTCTTACCCCCAGCCTCACGCAACCACTAATCTATTTTGTCTGTTTAGATTTGCCTTTCCTGGACATTTCATACAGATGGAATCGTACAATATATAGCCTTTAGCATCTGGCTTTTTTCAGTTAGAATAGTTGTTGAGGTTTATTCAGGTTGTCACGTGTATCTGTAGTTGGTTCCTATTTATTGCTTAACTAGTATTTATTCCATATCATGGCTACACCACATTTTGTTCACCATTTGGCAGATGTTTCTGCAATTACATTTGCGTGGTAAAACAGATACATTGGTGCAGCATCCATGGTAGGATAATTTGGGAATAACTGATATGAGCCAACATCTTATTTGATGCTTTGACTCTCTTCTATAATTTTAAATATGAATGCCAAGAGTTAAGCAACGAGGTTGCTATTAAGCAGTTATTTTGTGTGTGTGTGTGTATAACTGTCTAGAGAACAAACCAACATTAAGAACTTCTTAACTTTCCTTAGTAATTTGGGATGCTGAGGCAGGTGGATCGCTTGGGGCCAGGAGTTGGAGACCAGCCTGGCCAACATGGTGAAACCCCTTCCCTACTAAAAATATTTTTAAAAATTAGCTGGGTGTGGTGGCATGTGCCTGTAGTCCCAGCTACTCAGGAGGCTGAGCCAAGAGAATTGCTTGAACTTGGGAGGTGGAGGTTGCAGTGAGCCGAGATGGTGCCACAGCACTTTAGCCTGGGCGACAGAGTGAGACTCTGCCTAAAACAAAGAAACAAAGAAACAGGAACTTCTTAACTTTCCAAGAACATTGACTTTTGGTATACCCTTATTAGGAATCGGAAAACTGGAACAGCAGTTCCAAGCCAGAATTGTTTTCTTATAAATCTCCATTGACCCTGCTTTATGCTAACTATTATGGCAAATGCAATTTTCAGGGATGTGGGTCATGCTTGACAATTTATGCTTAGAGATCCTCTTAGAGAGATTTCTCTAGTTTACTGAAATCCTTTTATAAAAATCTAGTCAGTTCTGTGAGCCTAAAAAGAAGACAATGTCTCTCTGAGTACCTTTAAGTTACTACATAAATTCCAAGTTCCTTTTGGGGAAGAAAAAAGAGCATCAGATTAACTTGAGGTCTATTTTTGTTTTTGTGTTTTTCAAGACAGTGTCTTATTCTGTCACTCATGCTGGGGTGAAGTGTCAGGATCCTAGCTCACAGAAGCTTCAAACTCCTGGGCTCAAGTGATCCTCTTGCCTCAGCCTCCTCTATGACTGGGACTACAGGAATGTGCCAGCAAGCTTAATTATTATTATTTTTTTTTGTAGATTGGGTATCACTGTGTTACCTAGACTGGCCCCCAATTCCTGGCCTTAAGCAATCCTCCCACCTTGGCCTCCCAAAGTGCTGGGATTACAGATGTAAATCACTGGGCCCAGCCCTTGAAGTCTATTTTATTGGCAATTTAGATTGCAAAAGATTTTTTTAACATCTACAATTTGAAAAGAAGACAACATAGGTTAAATAATATCGTTTTCCAAAGCTGAATGTCTTCATTTGCAACTCGTTTTTTTCTGCTTGAAATGTCAAAACAACTTTGTAAAACTCCTAAGTGAGAATAGTACTACTGTTTTGATGATCTGTGTGTGACTGGATGGAGTAATCAATCTCAATTGGTAATATCCCTTTGTTTCCTTGGTAAGGATTTTTAAAATTCTAAAACAAATACATTTTTTTTCTAGCCTTACACTGACGATTTTACACCAAGTATCTCTTGAGAGGTATTTACCATCTACAGAAATTCATCTTTATTGTTCTCACTTTCATATACTCCAGGGATCAGGATCAGGGTGGAGACATTCATCATGCTATGTTGGTTCATAAAGAGGAAGAAGGCTTGATTAGTATTGAGCTGTAAAACCTGCTCTTTATTTTGATGAGGTCACTTATGTTGTTGTGATCTGATACAGGAACTTTGTTTTACCCAAAATGAGAAGCTGCCTCTGACACTTCTATCTTTCTATTAACACCTGGATTTTGGTAAGATGCTGCTCTTGGATAAGGCAAACATCTTTATGGTGTGGGAGGGTGGGCGAAGGTGGTGATGAAAATTAGGGTCATGGCAGGGCGTGGTGGGTGGCTCACGCCTATAATCCCAGTACTTTGGGAGGCTGAGGCGGGTGGATCACCTGAGGTCAGGAGTTTGATACCAGCGTGGGCAACATGGTGAAACCATGTCTCTAATAAAAATACAAAAATTAGCTGGGCGTGGTGACATGCACCTGTAGTTCCAGCTACTTGGGAGGCTGAGGTAGGAGATTGCTTGAACCTTGAACCCGGTTGCAGTAAGCCGAGATTGCACCACGCACTCCAGCTTGGGTGACAGAGGGAGACTCTGTCTCAAAAAAACAAAATAAAGAAAGAAAATTATGGTCCTGACTGTTTCAGGCCCTGAATAAGTAGATATTTTCATCACTGATCCAACAGCATATGTGCAGATGGACAAATATGAAGAATGAAAACAT